AAAACACTGCAGACAGCAGAACAAAACAAACACACAAGGGCAAAAAGTGCACATATATATTAAGAGGCAGAGAAAAAAAGCCATTGTTGGAGCCGGGGAACAAAGGAAGCCGGGACAATGGGGGAGAGGCTGACAAAAGCCGCCCGGCCGCAGGAAACGGGCCGGATAACAATGCCAGCGGAATGTGCCGACCAACTCGGGAACGCGGCGGAAAAAAAAAAAAGCGGAGCGCCACCGTTCTGCAAAAAGCATAATAATGATTACACCCCCCCTCTCCCCCCTCTACCACCTCTCCCCCCACACTTCACCCGGCTCGCCCAGCCTGCATAGTTTGTTTCTGAACAAAGCCACCTGTCTGCCAGGGTCCACGGCTCCAAGCCTCGGTGGTGTGCGAGCGCGTTTAAAATGTGTGCGTTCAAAAGCTGCACCGATGATTAAAAACACCAGCTTGAAGCACACGGCGAGGCCACGCGGCTAAGCCGACGCCTTCATCCCTCACCTTCTCCTGGAACCGAGAGATACGCAACTCACACAAGTTAACGCACTCTGATCGGCTGTTTGTGGTTGACAAACTCGACACAATTCACCTACTTGTTCTTAAAAAAAAAACGATAGGTGCGGTGTTTGCGGCAAACGACTGAATCCCAACAAACGTGATCAGCGCATTTCCTTCCTCTACAGCCGTGTTTTTGCCAGCTAGCCAGGTGACTTGTGAGCCCGCGCATGTGTGTCGTCACCATGCAAGATGCTGCTCCAGGGGGCGCCAGCGTCAACTCCGGGGTGGAAAAATGGCCGCAGCAGTTAGCGGTTGGCGGCTAGTGGGGAGCACCGGCGTGCTAACGAGCGTACGTAGCCTAACGAGCTTCTAAGCGCCATCGGTGCTAAAAAACGCCACGTGTCAATTGTACTGAAAAGGCACTATTTAACTAAACTGCAAAAGCAGTTCGGAATAAATACCAAACCAAATCCAGGATAAACCAATTCTTGTAACTATGGCCGATAAATTTGAATGAAACAATAAGTGGAATTGGAGTAAATTGTTTTAGTTTTTAACAATGACGTAGCATATCACTACTAGTACTGCTAATGCCGCTGCTAACAGCTGTTACTGCTGAGACTGCAGCTCTGAACAAATCGTTGTTACATTTACCAGTTTGAACTGGGTCGCCCACAGCTGCTGGTACAGTGGTATCCATTGGGTCGGCATGGCAACGAGAGGACTCAAACGCAAACCCAGGTTACAAACAAATAAATAACTTTCAATAACCACGGTACAAAAAAAACAAGGAAGCATGAAAAAGATCACAGCTCAACGTCAGGGTCAGAAACCAGCAATATTCACATGTGCATGAATGTAGTAATTTACCATCAGAATCAAGCTGAACCACTTCATTTTTCAAATCGACTTCCAGTTACTTCCAGTCCAGTACCATCTGAGGGAAGAAACCAGGTGTGCACCGACGAGGCACGCCACATTTATTCAACGACTTTGTGGAGTTTGGCACGATAGAAAACCCGGGGGGGGCTGACTAGAAAAGCCAGCATTCTGCCAAACACTGTTTCAACACAAACCTCATACCGTTCTGCCACAGCTCACTTCAAAACAAATGGATTGTTTGTATGTGTGTGTGTGTGTTTGTAACTTGGCACGTGTGTGTGAATTCAAGCTCTGCGTCATAATAAAAAAATCTCACACTCCTGAAGGTAACTAAAGTCTGGTAGCACATTAAATAACGTAAGTACAGCTGCAAGGGGGGGGGGGGGGCAACGACTTTGAATACCATATCACACTAAGTGTGCGTGTGTATGTGTGTGTTTTACCGTGTATGGGTCACTATCATGTTTCCAAAAATAATTTTCCCAATGAACAAAATTAATTTAAACTAATTAGAGAAATGATCTCAATGTCGAAACGGTCAATGTTTATCAATGAAACTGATACTGGAAAAAATATTGGAATAGAAATGACAACTATCAGCACACACACACACACACACACACACACACACACGCGCGTATCTGCTAACGCTCAGATGATGATGTCGTCCATATGCATTTTGCGGAAGGAATGAGGATGGAGAAGTGGGCGGCTGGCCAACGCTGCACCAGCGACCACCGCCAGTATCAGTGAGGGCTGATTGTGTGTGCGTGTGTTCGTGTGTGTGTGTGTGGGGTACACTGACTTTGGTCCCACGGCGAGTTATTCCTGCCCCCCCCGACCCTCCGCCCCCCCCACGTTCCACAGAGTACTGGTCTAGCTGCCACAGGTGGCTTTCACACAACTGTGTGTGTGTGTGTGTGTGTGTGTGTCACCCTACGCTGAGGTATGCACTGAATTTTAGCGATCCAAAGACCCGCTGACAGCAAGGAATGCGTCAAGGTGTGTTTCACTCGCACAATGTCGCCTCACAATGCCTTCAGCGTCTTTATCTGGAACAATGGAGAACTCCAGGTCATCGCTGGCTTGGTCTCCTCAAACATGCACTCGTGACCTTGCGTAAGTACGAATGCGTGTTCGTTTGTGTGCGACACATGACTTGCATGGACTACATTGACTTCTTCTCGTCTCATTGAGGCCGAGTGTGTCGTTCGACGTTCACCGCCGCTGGCGAACGAGCCGCCGAGAAGTCACATGATTACCGACCTCGGTGCAGCTGTTGAGCTGAATAGAAGTGGAACACAAAAAAGCCACAAACAAATATAAAGCTTTGACTTCTGTTGTCATTTCCTGTCACGTTAAAAGCGCTTTGGACTGAACGGAGTTAAACTCAACCTGGAAACGAACCGGGTAGAAGAAGAAAGAATGAGACTCATGTTGTTTTTATTCCCAACGGAAATCAATTTGTTTGAGGATCAGGCGTGTTTTGTTGTACAGAAGGAGGCGCGGTTTGCGGCGTTGAGTCAAGTCATTGACACCCGTTGTTAAGAAATCACCAAGCAATGAAGTGACCAATACGTTTAACTAAACAAAACTATTGTACCAGTGGTTACAGCAGCAAAGCAACATTTCAGTTAAACGGTAAGAGAAACAAAGTAGTGTTAAAAAGAACGAGGTGAAATGAAACAATATAATAACGTGGCAGACGTCGCTCAGAGTGACGAAACAACAACGAGGAGGCCGGAAAGTTAAACATTAGCTCGCCGTTAGCCGCTAGCAGTTGATAATAGTGTTAAAGGATTTAGAAGATCGTGGTGTTTGTAAATTACTTTGGGTTCACTTTGGGTTAAAAATCTGCCGCCAGGCAAGTCAAGGTACATATTACCCAGAAACCACCAGTTTGTAGTTTGTTACGGACGAGACTTCTTCCAAGAGTCCTTCACCAACGGTACCACGTTCAATCTAATATCTTCCCATTTGAATCAGGTGCAGAGGACCGCGTCACACATTGCTCTCTCTGCGGGCCCCTGACCCCTGACCCCTGACCCCAGGGGGCCACACTGAGAGCTCAGTGATATCCCTACTGACACCGGTGCGTTTGGCATGTATGAAAACAAAGTGCCACTGCGGTGGAAACAAATACGCAACTTGTTTCCCTCCTAACTGTCACAGGATTTAGTCTAGCAGAAGCAGAGAGGGAGGCGACGGAGGTTGGCGGTGGACGGAGGAGAACATGCCCCCCCACCCCCCCCACACACCCGCCCCCTCTTCCAGATAAAAATCTGCTCCTCTCCCAAGCGCCGTAACCTTACACTTCCCACGACAAAAGAATCACTTCACACAAAACCGTCAGTTACCCAACAAGTTGTAACACGTGAAAAAAAAAAAGAAAAACCCGCAGAGCCAACATTCCCCCCTCCGGGGGGGAGGCGGGGGGGGGGGGGGAGGGTGGCAATGCAAATCCGTCCTGTTGTTCTTCCCTTTCTTTTCTTCCTTTGTTTCTTTCTTCTTTCTCTCAGAGTTCTTTTCCACCCCGACACAAGCAGCTTGTTGGGTTTACGTCGTCGCTGCCGCTCTCCAGCTAGAGCCCGAGGCCGGATAACAGAGCGCGAGAGAGAGACACAGAGACACAGAGAGAGAGAGAGGAGCCAGTCGAGAGCAGCGGGATAAAGTGTCAGACATCTAAAGAGCTTTTACTTTGGTGATAAACAAAGACATTCCCATTGTCTAAACCTGAGACTGACAGCTGTAACGGCGGGAAGTTTCTCCCTGCAGGAACGTCGATCCCGCGACGCAAACACACACACGCACACAAATGTGAAATATCGCACAGCCTGATCTCTGCACATTTCCATGGCACTTTGAATAAGATTTGGATTTTTCTTCACGTTGTGTCTTTTGGTGACACGGGGCTCCCGCAGTGGGGTTCCAGCCCCTCCGCGCTGAGACAAGTGCGAGCTGGTGTCGAAACAAATGTTTGCGGAAAATGTTTTACGGTTAGCAGCATTTGCTTAGGGGGCGATAAAGCAATCCGGCTCGCCCAGAGAGCTTGTGTCAAACTGAGACATCACGGAGAGATCTGCTCAAATCTGCTCTTCGCGTTCTCGAGTCGGGGGCGGGGCTTCGCTCGGATTCAGATGATGCTCTCGAAGTTTTTCGCAAGACTGTGTGCTGAAAACCGGATTTAAAAAATAAAAATAAAATCTTTTGCAGAAAGCGTTTTTTTTGCGCGTCATTATGTTCAATGCAGCCTGCCGCCGTGGTTACTGACCTGGTGGGGCCGGGGGGCGGACGAGACGAGCTGCACCGGCGCTCCGTCGCTGGATCGGACCTGCCGACGCGAGTCATGGCGACTGCCTCTCCCTCGCCGCTAACGCCTATCTTTCTACTGCAGCCCCCTGTCACCTCTGACCCCCCCCCCCACTCGGCCAACCCGCAAAACACCTCCCGCCCGTCCCCCCCCCCGCCAAGAAGGGTGAAGCACAAAGAGCCTCTTCAGATCCCACCGTGCATTTGCATGATTAGCATGCTGCGTCAGGTAAACCGCGATACCGGACGGACGCCAGCCCACTAACAGGTGTGATGGCGGCGTGATAAGGGCATTCATCAGGAACCCGGCGGGCGCTTTCTAACAAAGTCGGCTTTATCCTCTGTTATGATCTCTGAAACCGGCCCGAGCGGGTCTGCGCGTCGTGACAAAGCTGAGTGTTAAGGGCCAGGAAGTAAAAGCCACATGTAGACAACGGGGAGAGATCGAATCAGACGTCCATTGTGGCGGCTGTTTGATGTCGCTTTCTAACTGGGGGGAGAGGAGCTGGTCACATTTCCAACCCGGTTGCATGCACAATAGCCCAATTAGCCACTAATGCACCCAAAAGTCTTTATTAAAGCTTCTTCTGGTGCTTATTAAATCTATTTTTGAGTCCTGAAAAAAAAAAAACCGCACCGGAGGCCCAAATAGGCCGCCATGGACTAATATGTGACAAATGGAGGGAAGACGCAACGTCTTTGGCTCTCGCTGCTTCCGCGGTGGGAGAAAGGAAAAGAAGCTCCAAGCCGCAGGAAATGTTCCGTCGAGTGTGTACTTCATCTCCTGTATGAGATCCTTCTGGTCCGGCGATCGCATTCTGCCGCGTTACTACTGTTTTTTGTGAAGCCCGACTACACTTTTGGACCACGGTTATTTTTTTTACGACACTGTGCGTGTGCGTCCATGCGCGTGTAGCGTGTTGACGTACAGTCAACGTGAACCTTGGTGCAAGGTTGTGTCGAGAAAGATGATCATCCAGAACCAGAGCGGAGGCACACTCATGTCTGATGTGTCTGCTACTTTTAGCTTAAGAAAAAACTGAATTAAGCTTTGATCCCGAACGCACCGCGAGACATTGGTGGAATTATATCAAAGAGGAAAACTCTTTGAATTTAGAGTTATTAAGGTGTACTTTGAAATCCTAACAGGACTCGAGAAAAAAAATCGAAGGCATGGCAGGACGCTTATTGCAAAGATCGAACAAGACAACATAACAACTCACTTTGTAGCGGTGTTCAGGTTTCTGGCGTTTCTGATCTTTTCTTCTATTTAAAAGCTCTTTGGGCTGAAAGAAAGGGGATGAAAACAGAACAGGCTGGTAAAGAGTAGTAAGCGCTCAAAGGCGGCATAAAATAATCAATACTGTATATTTGCTCTGCAAAAGGTGTGAATCCCTTCCACACGAGCATTGACTTTTTCAAAATGCAGATGTGGATGTTATAACCAATGTCCGGTTATAACATCCACATCTGCATGTCTCAAACACCGGCTAATGTCCGCCGGAAACTCACGCGCCGCCCGCATAACACCCAAATATACAGCAATAGTATATATATATATATATATATGATCGGGCGAGCGTTTGGGTAATTTAAGGTGCAACATATGCGTCCTGCTTTGGAGACTTCCCAAAGTACACAGTCCGTCTGGATGCAATGAAATGGTTTCTCTGAGCAGGAGCCAACTGGGGTCCAACGCATACGAGGCCAATGGTCTCTGCGAAGCTTCGGGTCCAAACGGACCAGATGGGAGAAGACAAGTTGTGCAAGAAGTGTCTCCACCAGAAAAAGAAGAAAATATTTTAAAATAAAACATCGTGCGTATTCTATTCTTTGACAGGAAATACCGTGTCAATTACAACAAAGAGTGAGTGCAGGCGCAACGTTATGCGATGAACTATTTCAAGTTCTGGGCAGTTGTTGTTAACAACCAAAGGTGTGTGTGTCACAACACAAAAAAATCACAAGAAAGGTTTCCGGTTGATACGTTTTAAATGTGCATCAACCAGGAGGAGGAAATGCAACCTTTTTGTCTAGGGGGTCTTTGATGGTCCGGCCTAACGTGCACATGCGTGTGGTCGGTTAACAAACCGCCGCATGCTGTATTTACTCTCCAGCTTGACCTTTTAACTCCACTACCAGACGGGCTTTTAGTACATTTCTGCTTTTTGGGGGAAAATGAAGATGAAATGCTCTTCGGACCACACTGATAGATATGTGTGTGTGTGTGTGTGTGTGTGTGTGTGTATATTTGGGGACTTGAATGATCCCTTGCGTTGCTGACTGGGCCTCATTAGAGAATGAGCTCTCAGGACCAGCGACACAAAAGCCTTGGCCTCTTCTCCTTTCCTTCCCTCCTCTTCCTCTGTGCTCTTGGCCTTTTGATGTCGAGGGTACTGAACCATATAGTGCCGAGTCCAAAGAATAAGCTCATCAGGAATACACACTTAAGTGTCCTCATTTCTTTTGGTTTGTTTTCCACCTGTGTGTGTGTGTGTGTGTGTGTGTGTGTGTGTGTGCGCGCGCGCGCTGAGGAGCAGACACACACAGACCTACAGGCCTCTGATAAGGTGCTGCTGCTCTGCGGTCGCTGGTCATTATGCTGCACAAAGAGCAGTGTTGGGAACTCAGCGCTGCGATGGAGTGATAGAGACATCACAAAGAATACATTTGACTCCCTTTTCCTCTTGGAGTTTTAGGGGCAGCCCCTCCGAGGCCCGCTGCGCACACACACACACACACACGCACACACACACACACACACACACACACACACACACACTCGCTCAGCGGGGACACACTGCTATGTCATACTTCCTCCAGTTTCCTCCATAAATGTGACATGAATAGCAGGAGAAGTGGACCGGCGAGGAATGAATGGCCAACTTTTCATTTTGTCTTCACGCAGGGCGAGAGAGAGAGAGAGAGAGAGAGAGAGAGAGTCGGCGTTTCCTCTTTCCTGATGAAAAGATGATGCGTTTGCAGTAAATAACACAATCCAGGGTGCCGGCAGGGACACAAATAATAACCATTAATACCAGTTGAATGAATGGTTAAATATACTCTACTTATTAACATTTACTTATAATTAATAATCCTTTAATTGGTTATTTTAACAAAGTATTGTTTATATACTGATGATTTCCAAATAAATGTTAAAGCTTCGAGAGATTGCTTTTTAGAATCTACGGACCTTAAATGGAAAAAGGAACAGCTATTTGTAACTCATGGTTGACATCGACAACTTTCTGTTTATTGGGGACTTTTGTAATCACACGTACTATATAACAGAATGACGCCACCAGAACTGAAGTGACATCACGAGTTTTGTCTGCCTGGTTTTCCCTCTGCAGTCCTTCCAGCCTGGTTCTAGAATGCTGGTTTTGTGTAATTTGATGCAGCGTGTTGTCATAAATAAAATATGTGAACGCGTAGACCAATTCACTGAGGCACAAGCTAACTTGTTGCTTTGTATATTCACTCTCCATCTTCCCTCTTCCTGCCCGGCCAACTCAAGCCTCCTGTTTTTACTCCATATGGATTTGTTTGACGCCCGGTAGCGATGGAGAGGCGGGCCCTTTTGTGTCCGCGTGGCCTTGGTATGAGAATAAATAACATGCCATTTAAATAGAGGATTCTTTTGTCGTCCCACTTCAATAATATCGTGTCATTTTCATGCAAAACAGGTTTACCCACCGAGCGGAGCAGAAGAACTCGGGACAAGACTTGGGAAGTAGCCCAATAGTGCAGCACAACCGGGGATGACTCAGCGCCGACCACGGAGAGATAGGCTCATTTTCTTAAACGAAAACCACAAAGACTTCCGTCTGTTGGCCCGGAGATCGGGGCGGGATGAGTCTGCGTACAGCGGTAGTTTTCACTTCCGGGCTGCAGTGTGGACTCTTTGTTAGCTATCCGAGCCCTCACAAACAGAAATGGGGAAAACATTCAAATCTTCGCGATGAAATTGGACGAGAGAAGCGTTTGGTGCGCTGCGGGACGCTCAGTAATCTGCCCCGTCGACAGGCCCGACCGGAGGGAAGCGCGCGGTTCAGAGGGCGCGACCTCTCCGCAACGCCGTGCTTTTCAAACGCAAACTGCACAGCCTGGTTTGTGTTTCAGTCCCAACGAGGCAACGACACATTTCCCCAGAGGCAGAAGACAGAAGTCTCTACCGAGCGGCAGAAACGGGGCTTATTTTGTTAATCCTGCTGCTTTTTGGCACGTTGTCGTCTTATCAGAGGGCAGAAGCCACGGAAACAAGAGGCAGGAGAAACAGACACGAGGAAGCCGGCATGCTGCAGATTAACGTGCAACTCCCACAATACGAGCCATGCAGGTACCCAAAAGCCACGGCACAGTTACTGCCGATTCAGAAGTCCTCATTTATACGCACGAGAATCTATTGCGGCGCATTAAACTACTCGTACTCGTCAGATTGGCTCCACGTCAACCTAAATGAGCGCGTGAGTACTTTGGATTTTATCCAAGGACGATGCTCCTCCGACCGAGTTAAAGGATCTGAGCACATCTTCTACCTGCGAGCTCGTCTTTGACAGTGAAAGGAAAAAAAACACTAAACCAATCACAACAAGTCCCCGTGGCGTTCGGTTGGTCGGAATAAAGAAATGAATCCCTTTAAAGCGCAGCTCCAGCATGATGTGAGCGAACGTCTTTATGTTGAGCGCGTCTGCTCCGATGCACTTCACAGGCCTTTCTCTGTGGCCGCGCGCTCTCAAAGCTTTCTAAATAAGATGTATAAATAGGCCGATGACACAGCCGAGCCCCTCACAAAGACGCCGAGCGGGGAGAAAGGAGAGGAGAACAGGACTCCGGCTCCCGTCACCGACCCTTTCTTCTCCGCTTTTCAGAAGCGCAGGTTAAAAAGCAACCATTTCTCTTTTCTTTTCATCCCTCTCTCCCTCTCTCTCCCTCTCTCTGCCCCTCTCGCTCTTCGAAACAGGGTCGACTATTGTGGCGGCCCGGCGAAAGGCTACTGTGGCATTTATCAGAGAGGAGGAAGAGCAGCAGGAGGAGGAGGAGGAGGAGGAGGGCCGAAGACAAAACACACTC